TTAATTGTAGGAGATCTTTATATGTGATCCTTTAAGGATTAAAAGGATTTAATCCTTTTCCACTATGTGTATTTTACTATCTTCACCCTATAACTTTCACTTGCTCTAAACTGTGGAAGAACAGTTCTAATTTTAAGAAAGTCTAGTTTGTCAACACTTTCTTTAATTAGAGTCAATACTTTTTTGTGTCTTGTTTAAAAAAATCATGTCCTCCCCAAAGGCCAAAAATATACTATTTTCTATTAAGAGTTTATGGTAGTTTAAAAATATGTCCACACATTTTTTGATACTTCTCCCTTCAAGAGATTCCCCTTCAACCGAGTGTGGATTGGACTTAATGACTTGCTTAAAAAGAATAAACTATTGTGAAAGTGACAGTGTGTGACTTCCTAGACTACATATTAGAGACGTCTCAGCTTCCTCCTTACTTTTCAGGGGAAACCAGCTGTCATGTTGCAAGGACATGCAATCAGTCCTGTGGAGAGGTCCATGTGATGAACAACTAAGACCTCTTGCCAATAACCAATAAAATTTGCCAGATATGTATATAAACTACCTCAAAAATATCCTTTATCCCCAGCTAAGCCTCCAATGCCTGTAACTTTGGCCATCTTAGCTGTAAGCTTGTAAGAGACCCTGAGCTAGAACCACCCAGCTAAGTGATTCACAAATTCCTGACCCACAGAAACTGAAATAACAAGTGTTTGTTGTTTGAAGCCACTAAGTTTTGGAGTCATTTTTTATGTAACAGTAGATAATTAATGCCCTTTTTTTTTTTTTTTGACATTTATGTCCTTAAAACATCTGGGTTTGCTTTTTGTATATACTATATGGTAGTAATCTAATCATATTTTTAAAAAATCTGGATAACCATTTCCTTCTCACCATATTTACTGAAAAATTCACTCTTTCCCTTTTGATATACAGACATTGTTACATATCAAAGTTCAACATATATACTGTTTCTGAACTTTTTGTTCTATTTCAGTGGTTAGTTTTCTAATTCCTGTGATGATACTACATTGTCATAATTACTGTAGCTTAATAGCAAATCCTGATATCTGGAAGGGTAGGTTTCCCACTCCTTGCTCTTCTTTAAAGTTGTCCAGCTTGTTTTTGATCCTTTACTCTTCTACATACAGCATTTTTTCCTATTGATTTTATTTTATTTTATTTTCTGTTTGGAAGCACAGTGAGTCTCAAACAAGATGGACCCAAAGAGGACCACACTAAGAAACCTCATAATTAAAATGCCCAAGGTTAAAGATAAAAAGAGACTCTTAAAAGCAGCAAGGCAAAAGCAGAGAGTTACCTACAAAGGAGTTCCCATAAGATTGTCAGCTGATTTCTCTAAAGAAACTTTGCAGGCTAGAAGGGAATGGCAAGAAGTATTTAAAGTGATGAAAAGCAAGAATAAAATATTATTTTATTTTATTTTATTTTCCTACTCTTCCAGTCCTGATATCTGGAAGGGTAGGTTCCCCACTCCTTGCTCTCCTTTAAAGTTGTCCAACTTATTTTTGATCCTTTACTCTTCTACATACAGCATTTTTTCCTATTGATTTTATTTTATTTTCCAGCATTTTTTCCTATTTATTTTATATTATTTTCCAGCTTGATTTTATTTTATTTTTTCCTAGTTTTTAAAAAATATATTTTATTGATTATGCTATTACAGTTGTCCCAATTTTTCCCCTTTGCCTCCCTCCAACTGGTACCCCCATTCCCTCCAGTAATCCCCCCCTTAGTTTATGTCCATGGGTCATGCATACAAGTTCTTTGGCAACTCCATTACCTATGTTGTCTATTTTGTACACCCTCCTGTCTATCTTGTACCTACCAATTTGTGCTTCTTAATCCCTGTACATTTCTCCCCATTCTCCCTCTTCCCCTCTCAATTGATATCCCTCCACATGATCTCCATATCTATGATTCTGTTCCTGTTCTCCTTGTAATTTGGTATTTAGATTCAGTTGTTGATAGTTGTGAATTTGTTGCCATTTTAATGTTCATAGCTTTCGTCTTTTTCTTAAATAAGTCTTTTTGACATTTCATGTAATAATGGCTTGGTGATGACGAACTCCATTAGCTTTACCTTGTCTGGGAAGCACTTTTTCTGCCCTTCCATTCTAAATGACACCTTGGCTGCATAGAGTAATCTAGGTCCTTGCTTTTCATCACTTTAAATACTTCTTGCCATTCCCTTCTAGCCTGCCAAGTTCCTTTAGAGAAATCAGCTGACAGTCTTATGGGAACTCCTTTGTAGGTAACTCTCTGCTTTTGCTTGCTGCTTTTAAGATTCTCTCTTTAACTTTAACCTTGGGCATTTTAATTATGAGGTTTCTTGGTGTGGTCCTCTTTGGGTCCATCTTGTTTGGGACTCACTGTGCTTCCAGGACTAGTATGTATATTTCCTTCACCAAATTAGGGAAGTTTTCCTTCATTTTTTCAAATAAGTTTTCAATTTCTTGTTCTTCCTTTTCTCCTTCTGGCACCCCTCTGATCTGGATGTTGGTACATTTGGAGATGTTCCAGAGGCTTTTTAGACTATCCTCATTTTTTGAATTCTTTTTTCTTCTTCCTGTTCTGGTTAAATGCTTATTTCTTCCTTGTGTTCCAAATTGTTGATTTGATTCTGGGCTTCATCCCCTCCACTGTAGATTCCCCTGTAGATTTTTCTTTATTTCACTTAATGTAACCTTCATTTCTTCCCGGGTCTTTTTTATTCTGTTGCTGTACTCAGTGAGTTCCTGGAGTATCCTGATAGCCAGTGTTTTGAACTCTGCTTCTGATAGATTGCTTATCTTAGTTTCATTTAAATCTTTTTCCAGAGTTTTGTTCTGTTGTTTCAACTGAGCCATATTTCTTTGTCTCCTCAATTTGGCAGCCTCCCTGTATTTGTTTCTGTGTATTAGGTAGGGCTGCTTTGACTCCATGTCTTAGTAGTGTGGCTGATTGCAGAAAAGTGCACCTGTTAAGTTGTATGGGGTGGAGACTTAGGTAATCACCAGGTTGGGGCAATCTGCATCACTGTTCTGTCACCCTGTGTTGGGGAGGGTTCACAGAGGGGACAATGCCACTACCTGGTCTCTGGAGTTTTGCCCAGGAGGAAGTCGTCTTCCAGTTCTTGCACTTCACTTTCTCCCATGTGCCACTGGTGCACTTCCATCTGTTGCCTTGGTGTTGAATCCCAGTGTATCTGCCTGAGTCCTAAGTCCATTGTGGGTCCTTTAAGAGGAGTCTCTTGAGAATCCAGCAGTTTCTCCTGCTGCCCCAACCCTCACTGATTTTCATAGCCAGAAGTTATGGGGACTTATCTTCCTGGTGCTGGAACCCTCGGCTAGGTGGTCTGGTGTGGGGCTGGGATCCCTTGCTCCTGAGGTATCTTTCCCATGTTTTTATCTTCCTCACATGAATGTGGGACTGCCTGTTCCTGTATCCAGGCCTTTTTACACTTTTGTCTCCACATCTGCATGCCTGTCCACCTCCCTGCACCTCTCCATACCTCTCCACACCTCTCTGCATCTTTGCCCCACTCCTCATTTCCGCCTCTCCTACACATCTGGATGAAGGTGGCTTCTTTAGATTCCTGGTTGTTGGACTTCCACACAGCTTGATTTTCTGACAGTTCTGGGTGATCTTTGTTTTGTAGTCTAGTTGTATTTTTTGCTATAGTTGTGTGCAGAGGTGAGACATCACCTATGCCTCCATCTTAATCGGAAGTCTCATATACAGTATTTTTTAGAATCATTTTATTCAGTTACATGAAAAATCTTTTGGGGAGTATGGAATTGAATTCACTCGCTTAATCATTTGGAGACAATTGATATATTTATGATACTAAGACTTCCTATCCATGACTATGGTATTCTCTTCTTTTATTCATATTGCCTTTAAATTTTCCTAATAAATTTTTATAAATTTCCCTGTAAATTTCTTTCTTTTTTCTGTGTTACCCTTATCCAGCTGTGTTGGGCTGCCTCCTATCCCAGGACAAATTTACTACCCACCTACACTCACCAGTCAAAAGCAGTCCCTTCTCCCCTACCCCTGTTTTTAAAGTTTCCCTGTAGAGGTAACCTTGGTGACAGGAGCCAGGATCCTTTCTAGTATAGCATCTTGGTCAGAATTGGAATGAGAAGCCTTTTACAAACCTCTTCCCACCTCTCCCCCTGAAGCTGGATATGATATTCATGAGAAAGTTTTGAGATGATATCTGTGGGGTGACATTTCCAGGGAAAATCCTAGGAATAATCTAGTTTTCTTATTTCTTAAGTCAGTGTCCAATATACCAGTGGCCCCACAGGAGCAGTACAAGAGGAAAGACTTTTGTAGTTTGATGTGATAAACTAGACTAGCAGGATATAGTGAGGTTCTCTGCAAGACACCAACTCTCCGCAAGGCACACAGCTCTTATTCTGGGATCCCACATTGGCAATTCTATGTTGGGCTCTGGTATTAAAGTACATATTAAAGACAGCCAAGGAGTTTTAAGAAAAATTCTTCCAGTTGTTCTGGGAACTTTGTATTTAGAGATATCAAAACAAGTAATACTTGACTTAACTGGTATGAAGGAGTATTCCCCTTAAACAATATTGCAAGACAACTGGAGCTGACCTTTAATTTTATGTTAACCATTTTGATGGAACTCTTTTTCTAAATCCTTTTCCATACCACTTTGAATATATGTTTCTTTATGCCTTCTTAAACAGATTATATTGAACATAATTTGACCTTTTCTTGAAAATGCAGGAGCTTCATTAATACCAATTTTACTTTGCTATCACAGTTAATCCCTCAGGAGTAATATCTTCTCAGTTGTTTGAACCTTAAGTTCTTATTTAGTTTAACAAGTATTTTTGAGCAATTATTATGTGCTGGATAGTGTTAGGTGCTATCTCCTTTTCACAGTCATTTTTCTCTCTCCTTTATTTGCTGTTAGGCAGTGGTATGCTTGGATTTAGAAGTTCTCTCCCCCTTGCTATATATATGTATTTTCACATCAGAGGGATAATGTACTGACATTGTAACAAGGTTTGAGAGAGGAATATCACACACAATGGCATGAAAACCCACTCATCATGCTTATGAACCACAAAAAGATCTCCCTATTTCTAATATACTAAAGTTACTGGGGAACCAGATATATTAGCTAATTCAAATTGATAAAGAAAAAGAGGAGTGAGTATACAATTTACCACATTTGTTTTAGGTGATATGATTCTTGTTTCTGATTGCTACTAGGCCATTGATTTTTAATATTGCAAAGTTGCTATTAGTAGTTTCCTTTGAACAAAGTAGTCATAATTTTAGAACTGAGAAATGTAGTCATTAGTGACACTAGTTTGTTGACTCTATGAGTGTGTGTGTATACCAGGTTCTCCTTGTCTACATTTTGCTTTCTGCCAGGATGGCTAAGCACAACCCTCAGAAAGTGTACTCAAAGATATTTACTTACTTTTTAAAGAACCATATTCCCTTCTTTTGGAGAGAATTAACCTGGTAGAAAAAGATGGGATATTGATAAATTAGCAATTTCTGGAAGCTATCATCACTGTCAAATAATATTCAGTGAACCATTAGTTAAATTTAGATAATATCATACATATTTTTTCATATGCCTAAAAAGGTAAAACTTTCAAAGATAACTATATATGTATATAATTTTATGTTATCTCTTTTATATACTGATAGGAATAAACAAAGTCATAGGAAGGTAAAGTATGTTGCCCAAGGTCAGTGTGCCTGCAGACCGGGTGTTCTGATTCTGGGCTTTCCCGAGTACATCCTTACCTTCTCCTTCATCAGTAATCCTTAGAGAAGTTTACAGGTTATGAAAACCTTACAAACTTATTCAAAGGGATAAGCTTAAACAGTTGTAAAATGTGAAGGTGAGGCTGTACTCTAAATTTAGAGAAGTGTGGCATCACTTTTCTAAAATATTTTCTTATTTATTTCATTTTTCTTTTAACATCCTTGTGAGATTAAAAAAAAGGAGGGGAAGAGGAATTATTATCATTTAAAATTGTGGAAGTGAGGCTCATGGAATTGGAATGAGAAACATACTGGGTCACAAATTTGGGATACAAATTTGGTTCTATAGTGTGAGTAAGATTAAGTGCTCTGCCAGCTGGAGGATTGCTCAGGTAGCCTCTCAGTAGAGATTGCTCAAACGTCATAGATCGTAGAATCACCATGGGACTGATAATCTTGATAAAGGAAACTCTATTTTTCCCCTGATAAGTGGTCAGAGAGAGCACTTTGATGAGCCACTGGTGGTAGATAACAGGACACATCTAGAACCAAACATGGCTCTAGAGAGGTTAATTTCAGAATTTGTTTTCCGGATAGATAAGCAATCTTGGGGCCAGAATAACCTGTTCAAGACAATGGGAACCATGGCCACTGTGAACATTGTTTAACATATATCCAAACATCTGGATGACTCCAAGGACAATCAGTGGTTAATTATTGATACTTGCTTCTTTTCTGTGATTATAAAAGCTATGTTATCTCAACAACGTAAAATTTCTGGTGAATGCTAACCTTAGCTCTAAAGCCAATATAAATTCTGAAGACAAAGTCCAACAAAAGTTTATCTTTTAGTCCTATGTACTTGCTGCTACTGGGCACCATGTGGGCCAAGAGGCCTGGTACTTTATATCCAATTCTATTTCCTTCTGACCTTTGCATGTATTTGGGTGACATTGTGATGTTAAATAAGAATAGACATTGAAGCTGAATCATAAAGAAGCAATGACTTTCTATGTTCTAATTCACAGACCAACTCTGATTAGATGGTGAGAAATGGCTGGTGCTCTGTGTTGTGAAAGATTCGGCACCACTTCGGGATTATCATGTAAGAGTACTGTGATAGTTAGAGATGGAAGGAATGGATTGTGTATGTGCCATGTGTGGACCTACTCTCTGCAGAGCATACCCTCAATTAAATATTCCTTCTTACTTCCATTCTGAATTCTCTTAGGTCTTAGGCTGTTTTCTTTGAGAACACATCATTTGTGTGTCTATAAAAAGAGTGAAGACAATTGTTCCTTAGTTTCCTCTTTGCTTGTTTAGGTTTGGAATGCCTTGGAATTATGTCTGGTGCTGTTCTTGGAAAATGCACACAGGAAGACTGATGTATGTTTGGAGGCTTGTAGTATTCAGGAAACTCCTTTGAAAGGCAATGAAACTGAAGGACACTGAGGATAGAATGGAGTGCTCACCTTATTATTTTGGTTGTTAAAATCTTTTCTCTCAGAGTTCATGTTCAAGACTTTTGATCTGGGGGGAAAAGAACCAAAATAGGAATTGGATAAAGTACTCCCAAACGTTCATATTATGAGATGGTTATTTAAAAACAGTTTTAGATTTTAAAGCTATATTGTCCACTATTGTAGCTAGTGGGTACATGTAGATATTTACATTTAAATGAATTAAAATTAAAAATAATTAGTTCCTCAGTTACAGCTCAGTAGGTGACTAGTTGACACCTATTGTATAGCAGGGAAAGTTCTATTGGGTGGTCCAGTTCTAGGACTTAGCTTAGTTGTCAAGCCATACCTACTGCTCAGGGAGAATTTAGGGAGACTTGCAGGCATCCTTTACAGGTGAGGGTCTCCAAGTCCCAGTGCCCTTATCCCCAGGTCACAGTGTGTACTTGGCCTATAGAGAGGCTGTATGCAGTTTGGGTTTCTCTCTCTTGATTCACATGATTCCAAACTATTTAATAAATAGAAATATCTTCAATTGAATTTAGATTTGACTTCTAAAGAGGGTCAAGAAACGGAGGTGAAGTTTTTGGTTTTGGTTTCTCACTATTTTGACTCTTATTTATCATTTCTAATTTTTAATGTTCATAGTTTAATATAGCTTGAATTTTATAGTATGATAGTTTTAATCTGTGTCTAGAGATTAGTTTCATTTTTATCCCATATGGTTCAGTTCTTATATGTTTGGGGGAAGTAAGAATGGTAGTACGTTTTCAGGAATTTTCTGTGATATGTAAGGAATGTCCTACTATTAAAGGTGACTAACCAATAACTCTTTTTAAAGCATATGTTCTTGACCTTAAGATAACCTTGAATAATTGATAATATGATCAAATTAGAAAGGTAGATGTGTTTCTCAAGTATTCTAAGAAAAATGGGAGGACCTGCACTGTAAAGTTGGTGTAGTCTAATGGGGGTCAACCAGATCACTAACAGGGGAAAGCCATGTGGCATTGGGGCTCACTCAATTCCAACTAGGAACTGGTCAGAGAACTGTTTGCTCCGACCCAGGCTGAGGTGGAGTTACCACTAAAACCAGGATGTTCCTTTGTTTGCCAAAGCTCACACTTCTTTCTCAAGGAACCGAATCTCTAATTCTTCTTCTATTTTCCTCAAAGTTTCCTGGTACTTCTTCAAAGAGAAAGAAGAGAAACCACAATTACTGACCAGAATCTTTAGGCTTTTTCTAACTACAGTAAGCATGTGATTACTTTGAATTATTACATTGTAACATGAATGTTTGGTATTCCTACTGGCACTTTATCTCCTTTCCTAGTCCCCCAACCCACAACCATTGATCTCTCACTACATTTTACTCTTGGGAAGGTCTCTGGGGCAATAGGAATTATAAATAAATAGGAAAAGTGCTTCTTATTAATTTAAGAGCACAGAGGTTGGGAGACCAGGACAGAAATAGAAAGGTATTGGTGGTGGAGTTCAAGGACCCTAAAGTCCTTTTGCAGTACCACCTTGAAAAGTTAAAATTGTTCCAGGCTGTATTCTTTGAAAAGCCCGGGTACATTTCATCCTGTACTTTAGCAAACCCTTTGCAAAATGTTGACTTAGATGTTGTACCTTTATGCAGAGGGCCTGATCTTCACAGAGCTGGGTCACAAATGCAAAGTCTTCCATTACCTGAGATGAAAAAAATCCAGCCTTAAATTTCTCTCAGTAAACTGCTATGCAAACAAGAGTATCCTTGTTTCCTTCTCATCCCAGACCCTAAATGTAGTTTTCTAATTGTTCTAAATTTGTTTTTGCTGTACATATGAACTCATTTCCTTTTTTTGAGGATAAACAAGCAGTGTTTTAAAACCCCAATGGGAAATATTTGGGAACAGTTGGGAGAAGAATGCATACTAATTTGTTGGATTTATAGATTATGGAATGTATCCTGTAAAATGTTAAAGAGAAGTAAACCTAGGGGACTGTATTCATCTTTTTTCTCTTCATTGCCTCCCTGGCCCCATAGAAGTTTGGATCTGGAACCTTAAAACTTTGTCATCTTAGGACTATATTAGATGGGTCTGACTGAGGATCTAGTTTCCGTTCCTTTGGGAGAAGTAGCTTTTATTTTGTTACCTTGTTCAGCTCCTTCTCTTGGTTAGCACAGGAGGCTTCCAGCTGCTGTATCTTAAGCTGTAGAAAGGAATGGAGATTGGTAACTCAGCAAAGTGAAAACCATACAGGATTCCATTCTGAAATGCTGTCTTGAGTTTGTTCCACAGGTGGCTAGAGGACATTAGGCATGATTTCAGATGTCTTTTTGATGGAGGAGCCAAACCATTCAGCATCCTTTGCAGCTGCCTGGTGAGCCTGCTTTTCTCTACTTCCGACTTCTTCCCATCCATCAGTGCTCCCTTCACCCCTAAACTTCAATTCTTGCTTCCTTCTCAGCATTTTTCTCTTAAAAGAAACATCAAGCTTGAAAAAATTCACTCTTCATTTTCCTTTTATATATTCATTGCTCACTCTCTTCTCCCTCCCTTTATTCCTCTTCCCTCTTTTCCTTCCTTAAATATTTGATGAAAGCCTATTCCTTATTTGCCACTAAGCTGGAATGACAGGGAAGGAGCTAGGGGTGGGGGGACTAAGGATACAGTGGTAATAGATTGATAGGCTCTCTGCCTCACACTGCTGACATTCTAGTTGGGGGACATAAATTAGTTAACATGATAATAATAAATGCTATGAAGGAAATGAAAACAGAGTAATGTGATGAAAGCAAGTGATGGTATAAGAGCTATTATAGATGAGATGATATTTGAGCTGATGTCTGATGTCTAAGGGATAAATATTAGAAAAATGGATATCTGGAAGAAATATGTGCAAT